TGTTATTAAAAATAATATTTATTTTATTTTATTTTATATGGGATAATTTATATCCAGAAGTGTTGTGTTTTACATTTTTCATTTAAGAGTACAGGACACATTTGATACATATATTTATATGCATATTCCCAGAAGTAACAACAAAAACCTTCTACAAAAATCAATCGCTTCCATCATGCCCGTCACTCTAACTGTCTACAGGGTATACGCAAAAAAAGCATTTGTTAGCGGCGCTGTAATATTCATGAAAATGGCAAATGCAAAGGGGAGAGGGAAATGGTTAATTGGGCAACAAAGCCCCCCCTAAACTCCCTCTCAGTCATTATTTACGCCCGCCTCGCACAGGTTGATTGAGTTTTATTAATTTGTTGTCCATGACGACTGCTAATGATACGACAGCTAAAAGAGCTCAGGCTGATGATGATGAACAGCCAGAGATGGGCAGAGACAGGAACGGGAGGGAAGTAGGAGAGAAGAAAGTGAGAAAAAGAGAGAGAGAGAGAGAGAGAGAGGGAGAGACTTGATGCGATTATTACGCAAAGCGCGTTGCGCGCTTAGTCGTGGATTGCGGCTTGGTTTACATTGCGTATACGTCATTTCGGACACAGCTTGACATGTCATAATTAGCGTGCGTGTTGCCGCTGCGGCTTGTTGCATGCAGTTTGTGTGTTGCACGCGCTCGTTGACTGCGACTCTGCCGCGACTCAGTTTGTTGCCATTACGATGCTCAAATCGACGTGAATTTCGTGTGAAAATCGAGGCGCATGCCCAGCGGTCAATTTGACTGTGCTGTCAGAGCCACGGCTGCTCCCCTCTCCCTCTCTCTCGCTCTCGCTCGCTCGCTCGCTCACTCTCTATCTATCTCTCTATCTCATTTTTTAGCTTCGTCGTGGCTGCAACAGCAGCTGCAGGCATCCTATGTCTGTTTGTGTGTGTGTGTGTGTTGTGTGTGTGGGCTCCGGCTAGGGTCCACCTCCACATAAGTGAGTTAAACGCAATGAAAAGCCAAATATTCCCACAGAATCATATGAAATACTTTGCCTTACATACAAAATTTTTGCTCTTAACCAGGCGATGGCTTACAGCATTTTACCTGGGCATTTGCTGTGTCACGTTTCCAACTCATCGCCCCTCTTACTCTCCCTCTCCCTATCCCACTCTCTGTGTCGTCTGTCTGCCTGACCTGCCCCGCTGGGGCTGCATGTAATCCAAGCTGCAGTCAATTTTTGTTTGGCCAAATTGGTTCTCATGCTGCGACCAGCTTACATAAGCTCATCATGTCTGCCTCCTGCTCCGTCTCCGTCTCCGTCTCCGTCTGCGTCTCCACCTCCATCTCGTTTCGATTGTTAACTAATTTGTCTTGTTTAACCTTTTTATTGTAGCAAAAAATGCGATATGGATCGAGAGCGCGAAAGAGATGCAAAGGGCCTCGAGCCGCGCGACTTATCCTCCACGGGCCGCATCTATGCTCGCAGCGATATTAAAATCAGGTAAGAGCTGGCTAGCACCTATCCCACCTGGACTCCAGCAATTTACACATTGGTTTTCTTTTTTGTGTTTTCTTGTTTGTGGCACATTTGCAGCGCTTCCCCCACCGTTTCGCCAACGATCTCAAATTCCTCATCGCCCACACCGACGCCGCCCGCCAGCTCCTCTGTGACGCCGCTGGGCTTGCCTGGGGCGGCGGCGGCTGCAGCTGTGGCCGCTGCGGCAGCGGCTGCTGCGGGCGCCGGACCCGGTGGCGCCTCGGCCGGGGCCAGTTCCTATTTGCATAACCACAAGCCCATCTCGGGCATACCCTGTGTGGCGGCCGCATCGCGGTACACAGCGCCGGTTCACATCGATGTGGGCGGTACGATCTACACGAGCTCCTTGGAGACGCTTACCAAATATCCCGAGTCGAAGCTGGCCAAGCTCTTCAATGGCCAGATACCCATTGTGCTGGACTCGCTGAAGCAGCACTACTTCATCGATCGGGATGGTGGCATGTTTCGCCATATACTTAACTTTATGAGAAACTCAAGACTATTGATTGCCGACGATTTTCCCGACCTGGAGCTGCTGCTCGAGGAGGCGCGCTACTACGAAGTGGAGCGTAAGTATAGACAAACTTCTTTCCCCCCCTCCGCTTTTCCAACTATTCCTCTAACCGCATTTGACCTGTTGCTAATTTGGCTATCTCTCTCTCTCTCTCGCTCTCTCTCTCTCTCCCTATCATTTTGTGGCCGTCGGCAGCTATGATTAAGCAGCTGGAGAGTATGCGCAAGGAACGCGTACGCAATGGCAACTATTTGGTGGCGCCACCCACACCGCCAGCACGTCACATTAAGACCAGCCCAAGGACGAGCAATGCGCCCGAGTGCAATTATGAGGTGGTCGCATTGCACATCTCACCGGATCTGGGGGAGCGCATTATGCTGTCGGCGGAACGGGCCCTGCTCGACGAGCTCTTCCCGGAGGCGAACCAGGCAACGCAGTCGAGTCGCAGCGGCGTCTCCTGGAACCAGGGCGACTGGCGCCAAATCATCCGCTTCCCACTGAACGGCTATTGCAAGCTGAATTCGGTGCAGGTGCTCACACGGCTGCTGAACGCCGGCTTCACCATCGAGGCCAGCACCGGGGGCGGTGTCGAGGGGCAGCAGTTCTCCGAGTATTTGCTCGTCCGTCGCGTTCCAATGTGATAGGCTTCATGTCCAGGTCAACGTCTGCCTCAGCGTTCTGGGCACTGTGTAATCGTAATCTTTGTGCGCGTTGCGCACTAATTGCTTCCCCTTAGGGTGGTTTTTGGGGGGTTTCGACAAGGGGGTTTCGGCGGGCAGGGCAGGGCGTGCCGCGGGTGTGGGCGGTACGTGGGGGAGGGTGTTTGTTTTATTTTTTTGCAAATTTCTAAAATCCAAATGTTATTTAATGTTTATATCAATTAGGTTTTTTGCCGGAAGTCAACCCGCGCAGGCACACGAATACACCCACATACACGCACATAGACACACAACAACAATATTCGTGTATTTCTTTAGCATTTAAGATGAAGCCCAGGGCCCCCAGCACTGATTTGTTTATGGCCTACGTTGAGTAGTTCCGCATAGTTCGGCATATTTAAACTAGTTTCTGTTGTTTTTAAGTAATTCCCATGATTAAAAATACTTTCTATTATTTAATTCCATAACAAAAAAGAAAACTAGCCTGATAGACACCTCCCGGGAAGTGTCTTGAAGCATATCTTATAATACGTACACATATGTAGCTATCAAAAAGAAAGAAAGCAAAAGTAAAAGAAAATAAAAAATCAAAATGAAATGAATAAAAACAAAAGCAAACTAAGCAACTATATTGATTAAACTCACAGCAATAGTTTTGTAGTAAATAATTGATGTAATTGAACTTTTATGAATGTAAACTATGGATTAACTTTTCAATATACATACATATACAAATACATATACATATAAATACCGACAAGCTCTACAATATGTGCAAAGTATAAATACTCAAATGAAAAAAAAAACAATTGAATAAATAAATAACAAAAAAAAAAAATTTAAAACAGTTTGCGCCCACTTTTAGCAAATTCCATTAAATTGTCTAATTGCGTATCTCAAAATAAATAAAAAAAAAAAAAAATTAAATCAATTGAAAATCGAATCGTTTTATTTAAATTGTCAACGGTTGAGATTCATATAGGCGCCATCTAGTGTTCAGTACATCTAACACTGGCGCCATCTTCTTAGCACAAAGTAGTTGCATCAGCAATACAATAGATGGCGCCAACGCATGGCAGTTAAGCTATTAATTTGAAGCACCATTTAAACTTAACTGCTAAACTTGCTCTCTCACTTATGCTCTGGATTTTGAAAAAGTAAATGTTTTGTCAACCAGCTGAAATTTCTGTTCGCCTGGTGCTTTAGCTGAATCTGAGTCCGAGTCGCGTGAGCTGAGCTCAGTGACGTAATTGGCGGCCCTGACGGGTATGCAACAAAATTTTTTAATTGCTAATTTTTAACTTTTTTTTTTTTTTTTTTTTTTGGTTTATTAAGTGTAGAAACGGTACAATCAGATATAGTACTTTAAGAACACATAAATATACATAAAGTTAGAGCCAAACCTCACTCAATTTGTGAGGACAGAAAAAAAATGAAAAATAATAATA